CTATTATGAACAATACCATACCAACAAATTGGATAACCTAGAAGAAATAAACAGAATTATGAAGAAACAAAAAAATCTGAGCAGGCTAATAAGTAAGGATATTGAATCACAAATAAAGAGTCTGCCATCGAAGAAAAGTCCAGAGCCAAGTGGCTTCACCGATGAATTCTACTAAACTTTAAAGAAGAATTAATACCAATTCTTTCAGAGTCTTTCATATTCTTCCAAAAGTCTGAAGAGGCAATACTCCAAAGTCATTCTACAAGGATAGCATTACCCTGATACCAAGACGACACAGGAATAACAGCAAAAAAGAAAACTACAGGCCAGGTGCAGTAGTTTATGCCTGTAATCCCAGCACTTTGGGAGGCCAAAGTGAGCAGATCACTTGAGGTCAGGAGTTCAAGACCAGGCTGACCAACGTGGTGAAACCCCCATCTCTACTAAAAATACAAAAGTAAAAAGAAATCTGGGTGTGGTGGTGCATGCCTGTAATCCTGGCTACTTAAGAGGCTGATGTAAGAGAATCACTTAAACCTGGGAGGTGGAGGTTGCAGTGAGCTAAGACTGTGCCACTGCATTCCAGCCTGAACAATAAGAGCAAACTCCATTTCAGAAAACAAGAAAAAGAAAAGAAAACTACAGGCTGACATTCCTAATGAACACAGATGTAAATATCCTCAACAAAATATTAGCAAATTTACTCCAACAACTTATTAAAAAGATTACTCACCATGGTAAAGTAGGATTCATCCCAGGGATGCAAGGATTGTTCAACATGTGCAAATCAACAGATGTGATACAGTATCACATTACCAAAATGAAGGATAAAAAGCACATGATCACTTCAACAGACATGTAAAAAGCATTTGTCAAAATTCAAAATCCCTTCATGATAAAACTCTCATCAAATTAGGTATAGAATGAATGTACCTAAACACAGTAAAGCTAACATCACACGGATGGGGAAAAATAAAAAGCTTTTCCTCTAAGTCTGACATAAGAAAGGATGCCCACTCTTACTACTTCTATTCAACATAGTACTAGAAGTCCCAACAAGAACAATTAGTCAAGAGAAAGAAAAGACATCCAAATTGGTAAGAAAGAAGTTAAACTGTCCCTATTTGCAGATAACATAATCTTATAGAACACCCTGAAGACTCCAGCCAAAATTTATTAGAACTAGTAAACAAATGCAGTAAAGTTGCAGAATACAAAAATCAATATACAAACACCAGTAGTGTTTCTATACACTGACAACAAACTAATCTGAAAAAGAAGTCAAGAACATAATTCCACTTACAATAGCTATTAAAAAAAAAATTACTAGCCAGGCACAGTGGCTCATGCCTGTAATCCCAGCACTTTGGGAGGCGGAGGTGGGTGGACTGCCTGAGGTCAGGAGTTTGAGACCAGCCTGACCAACATAGTGAAACCCTATCTCGACTAAAAATACAAAAAATTAGCTGGACATGGTGATGGGCACCTATAATCTGAGCTACTCGAAAAGGGGAGGTAGGAGAATCGCTTTAACCTGGGAGGCAGAGGTTTCAGTGAGCCGAGATCATGCCGTTGCACTCCAGCCTGGGCAACAAGAGCAAAACTCCATCTCAAAAAAAAAAAAAAAAAAAAATTAAAAAAACCACACAAATAAACAGGAATACATCTGTGTTCATGGATTTTAAGAATTAACACTGTTAAAATGTCCATACTACCAAAAGCAATCTATAGATTCAATGCAATGCAATCACTACCAAAATATCAATGACATTCTTTACAGAAAAAGAAAAAAAAAATCCTAATGTTCATGTGGAACCACGAAAGACCTTGAATAGCCAAAGCAATCTTGAGAAAAAAGAACAAAGCTAGAGGCATCATACTTTAGCTGAGATATGACTTGAAAATAGACTACAAAGCTACAGTAACTGAAACAGCATCATAGTGGCATTAAAACAGACACACAGATCAATGGAACGGAATAGAACCTAAAAATAAATCCATCCATTTAACAGCCAACTGATTTTTGACAACAATGCCACAAACACACATAGGAAAAGGATAATCTCTTTAATAAACGGTATTGAGAAAACTGGACCTACAAATGCGGAAGCATGAAAGTAAATCTTCTCTCTCACCATATTAAAAAAAATCAACTCAAAATGGATTAAAGACTTACATATAAAACCTGAAACTAAAAAACTACTAGAAAAATACAAGAGAGAAGCCCCATGACATTAGTCTGGGCAATGGCTTTTTGGATATGACCTCAAAAGCACAGGCAACAAAAGCAAACATAGACTAATGGGATTACATTAACCTCAAAAGCGTCTGCACAGTAAAGGACATAAGCCTCAGAGTGAAGAGGCAACATACAGAATAGGGGAAAATATTTGCAAACCATATATATTTGGTTAATATCCAAACTATATAAGGAACTCAAACAAGTCAAGAGCAGGAAAATAAATAGCCCTATTAAAAAATGGGCAAAATACCTGAAAAGACATTTCTCAAAATAAGAATTACATAAGGCCAAAAGAGGTATACAAAAAAAGTTCAGTAACAATAATCATCAAGGAAATATAAATCAAACCGCAGTGAGACACACCTGTTATAATGGCTATTATCTCTATGATAAAGGTAATAAGGGTTAGAGGGGATGTGGAGAAAAGGGTGCTCTTGCACATTGTTGGTGAGAATGTAAATTAGAACAGCCATATGGAAAACAGTATAGAGATTCTTCAAAAAATTAAAAATAGAACTCCCACATGATCCAGCAATCCTACTACTGGGTTTATATCAAAACAATATGAAATCAGTGTGTCAAAGAGATATCTGCACTCCCATGTTCACTGCAGTATTATTCACAAGATATGGAATCAATTTAAGCATGCATCAGTGGATGAATGGACAAAGAATATGTAGTATATATACACAATGGAATACTATTCAGCCATAAAAAAGAAGAAAATCTTGTGATTTGCAACAACAGGGATGAACCTGGAGGACATGATGGTAAGTGAAATCAGCTAGGCACAGAAAGATGGATACTCCATGATTTTGCTCATATATGGAATCTGAAAAAGTTGATCTCTTAGAAGCAGAGTAGAATGGTGGTTACCAGAGGCTGGGGTGGTTAGCAGAAAGGGAGTTCGGGGAGATGTTGGTCAAAGGATTCATAATTACAGGTAGATAGGAGGAAGAGATCTATTATTCAGCATGGTGACTACAGTTGATTATGATATACTGTGTTATTGAAAAATGCAAAAAGAGTGGATGTTTTCTTATTGCAAAAATAACTATGAGATAATACATTTGTTAATTAGCTAGATTTAATCATTCTGCAATGTATGCATTCTATTTACTCCAAAACATCATGCTGTATATGATAAATATGTACCATTTCATCTGTCAACTTTAAAATGAAAAAAAGAAGTTACTAAATGGCAGAACTGGTTCTGTCTGTTTATTCTGGTATCAATGCCCCAAATTCCTGTAAGTATTCTATGTAGGTCAGTTGCTAGGATACCCTAGTAATCTATATATGAGTTACTTTTACTTTGATCCACTGTAAAAGGTATTATCCATTTTCTATACACTATTTTAGATATGGCCTTACTAGAAAAAATCCAAAGGGCATGAGACTCACCTTCAAGAAGGAAAGAAAAATGGAATAGAACCACATGAACAATTTATATATACATTCAGTACCATTTATATTCTTCACATTAAATTTGACACACATGCTCAGCTACTTTTCTAGAGTGATCCTGTCACTTTTCCACTGACAAGCCTTTAGTGGCTTTCCATCTCACCCAGAGAAAACCCTGAGCCATTACAAAGGCCTGCAGGGCCTATGTGCTCTGGTACCCTAGTTCCTTCTGTTCCTCATCTGTTATTCTCTTCATATTCCAACACAACAGCCTCTTAGCTCTTCCTTGCATATCCTTAGCAAGTTCTTGCCTCAGGGTCAATTGTACTTTATTTCTTTCTCTGACTACAATGCTGTCCCCCAGAAAACAACTGATGAGCCACTTCCCAATTTCCTTCAGGCCAAGTGTCACCTCAGTGAAGCCTACTCTGACTGCCTTATGTGATTGTCCATTAATTAATGCCTTTTATCCTCTTGCTGAAATGTAAGCTCCATGAGGACAGGGCGTTTCCATGTTTTGCCCACTGCTGTCTAATACTGCCTGCCAAATTAAAGGCTAATTATTATTAGCACAGTATCCCTCAATAAATATTAGCTATTATTATTATCACCAAATTATAAGCTTTTGGTAGTTTATTCTGAAAATTAATAAACCATAGGCATACCATCAAAACAAGTACTAGAAATTAATTGCCACATAAGAATGTACTTTCCAAATATATTGATTTCAGTAGTATTAAATAAAGTACTACATGTTCTAATACTATAAAATTCATTGTGAATTTTGTTTACAAGTCATATATAGTACAGGTTGAGTATCTCCATCCAAAATGATTGGGACTAGAAGTATTTTGGATTTTGGAATATTTGCATTACTGGCTGAACATCCCTAATCTGAATATTCAGAATCTGAACTGCTCCAATGAGCATTTCCTTTGGGTGTCATGCTAGCACTCAGAAAGTTTCAGATTTTGGAACATTTCATATTTCAGATGTTCAGATTAGGGATACTTAACCTATATAAAATTTCATTAATTAGCTTCATATGTTTAATTTATATCAGTAGTTCTCAGTCTTTTATTCTTCTCTACTATACTTTGCACTGCCATTAAGAACAGAGTAGCTCAATGGAACAGTGATTTTCTGCTAAGTAAGGGGAATGTGGTAGGTGGTGGGTAGGGGTGGGTTGTCTTGAGTTGGTAATTACTAGTTCACATAGTAGAAACACATTTTTAAAAAGAGCTGTGATTCAAAGGGAAGAAATGAGCTAAATATACAGAAAAACATCAAGTGTGTGTTACAGATCCATTTCTTTAATTTATACCCAAAAATATACTTAAAAATCTCTTACAAGTGTGTTTTCTCCATTGGAACTATTCCAGAGTCTCATTCGATTATCTGTACCAACAGTGAGAAGGTGAAGCCCATCACTTGTAAAACATAAGCCATTAACTTTCCCATTATGAGCAGTGTTTGCTGCAATGAAAAATATAGCTCAGTTTATCTGTTCTTGTATTCAGAACATATTTAATGTTTGATGATATAATTATTTAAACATATTAAAGGACAACAACTTGAGTTACTTAAAGAATGTAAGTGTATTATACTTAAAATTAACCAACCCTTCAGATTATTTGAATAGGATAAGCAATATAAATGAGAAGCATAAAAATAGAAGAAAACAAAAAAAGGGAAAAAAATTCTACCAGCCATACTTATTTTTTTCCAGCGAGGAAGTTGTGCCATCAAATTCAATTAAGTGTGTAGCTTAATACTAAAATTTGAAATGAAATACCTTTCATTTCTCTTATATAATATTTTTATTGCTAACCTAAAAATCATTCAATGGGCTATTAAAATTAGTAATTCTGGTGTTTTCCAAAAAAAGAAAACCTTAAAAGGAAAAGGATGACTGTTGTAGTCTCAAAATATGTATCACTTTCAAAATTAACATGTTTGAGAAAGCATAATTCTAAAATAGGCTAATTAATTTAAAAACATATAAAACATGTTTTATATAGTTTTTAAAAAAACTATATACATTTTAATATATTTCATATAAAACTATATAAAACCTATGAAATTTTATGTAGTTTTTAAAAAAACTATATAAAACAAACATAGGTTTTATATAGTTCATTCTAATACATATCTGGTCCAGAATTAATTCTAAATCAAAATTTCTACATAGAAATTAAATTCTACTGTAAAAATGCAATTTAGGTACTTTGTCACATGGATTACAGCTGAGTCACATTTAACACAATTTTATGTTAATACAATGGCCACAAAATGTTACTCTTTCTGTAATTTATTGTGATTTTTTAAATGGCATTGAATTTGTATAGTTGGCCTCAATGGAGCAAAAGCAAAATAAGTAAAGCAAGTTAATTCAGAAAAGTTTCTACTTTTGAAAATTTAGGGCCAAATGAAAGTGCCATTTTTATTTATATCTTAAAGAAAGAGAATCATAATTTAGTTTACATAAATTAAGAAAGTGATATATGATGAATGCCTTTTAAAAAATCATAAAGTTTGCAATTTGTCAATATGCATTTATTATTTGGCTTCAATTAAAATTTTTCAATGTAAAAAAAACTATCATTGTTGTATTTCTTTTTCTTTTCTTTTTTTTTTTTAAGATGGGGTTTCACCATGATGGCCAGGCTGGTCTTGAACTCCTGACCTCAGGTGATCCACCCACCTCAGCCTCCCAAAGTGTTAGGATTACAGGCGTGAGCCACTGCGCCCAGCTGTATTTCTTTATTAATGCATTCTTCCTTACCTGATTCAACAGCTTGTGACTTTTCTCCATTATGCTGATCAAGAGTAATTAAACATCCTGATGCTCTTCTCACATCCCATAATTTTACTCTACTGTCAGCACTGAGAAGAATAAATGTTACATTGACAAAGGTCTCATTACATAGGTGCAAATGTATACATACACTAGAGTTGCTGAACTTTCTCTTTTCAGCAACTATTCAATAGTTAACAGTAATTCAAATAAGTGAGTAAATAGCAAGAAAAAAAAGTAACCTTTCTTTTTCAGATAACAAGAATAAAGTTCTGCTGCTTTTTATGTTGTTTTAAATTATATCAACATCTTTTTTCCCAAGGACCAGAGAGGTCTGTAGCTTGCTCCTAGTAAGTTCCTTACCACACGTTTTCTACTGCTTATTATCCAAATGCTGTCAATAACGAATTTCACTTTGCTCAAAAATCCATTTGGTATGATTTGGTGTTTTTTTCCTTTTTATATAAAAAATGGGAAGAGTAAGGTAAATAACTAGGACCATGCATTTCCATTTGGTTTCCTGTACTCAAATCAATCTTTACCAGATATATGAAAACTACATTTAACGTCTCCTAGAAATTAGACACTTACTTCCATATTTTTTTTCCAGAAAGCAAAAAGAAGAAAGCCAAATCTATGATCAGACATCTATTTCAGTTTCTAGGCTATTCCTAAAGAAAAATGCCGGCAATCCGATGTGCTCCTAATCAGTTCATCTTATGCTATCGTGTCCTCACAAGGACCTCAACAATATTGTAACCCAGGGGGCTTATCCATGCCATTTTAATAAGAGAGAATATTACTTTACATTTTTATAACCATATTTTTCATTTATAAATTTTTTAAAGATATACACACAGGGTTTATTGGTTTTTAAAAATCTTGATTCTTTTCACAGATGACCATCAAACCTAGCCAACGAGAATAGTCAGCAAAAAGCTAGCATTTCCCATTCTTAAGTTGGTTTTCTTTCTTTCCAGCTGAGGGAAATGAAATCTGTATGAGGATTTAAGTGTCTTCTGAAACAGATTAGATTTGAACATATTCAACTTTTAACACCGATTACTAGGTCCATTCTGGTACTGATTCAAATTCCTGGGGCATTCTTATAATTGAAAGCTTCTTAGCTCTCCTCTGTTCTTGGGAAAACCAAGTTAAGCATGAAAAATGTAAAATCCACCCAAGCATAACCAGCACCTAACTCCTAACCTTCATACCTCTTCAGTCAGTCTTATGGCTATAATTCTAGACCTTGCTGCACTTCAGAAATTGTAAATTTTAACATTATATTTTGTTAATTATTAAGAGAAGCTTCTTTAGGGCCTAACCTGTGACAGGGAAAGAGGGCTGGCAACTCAAAAACAATCCAGACACAGATATTTATAAACCTAATATGAATAGCTTTTGTAATAATTTTTCTTCTACTTAAAGCTTTATGAAAATATATCAAAATATTTGATTACTAATTCTTTTCCATTCAGTTATAAAATCTTCTTAGTCTAACTCTCATACTTCTACTTCATTAGGTCCTTGATCCCTCCTACAAGCCTTTTTGTGATTTTATTTTTTTTCCTTTTTCCCACGACTTCTACAATTTTCAGGCACTGAGGTACTTTCCTGTAGACACTAAAAATTGTTAAGTCTGTTTCATTTAATGATTTAATTGCTGTAGCTTGGTACGCCTGTGATCTACGTCTTCAACTGAGAACACCTGCCCAGTAATTCTATGCGCCCTTAATCAGCTCCCTCTCTCTTTCAATCTGTTATTCCAGATCAATACTATCTTTCCTCAAAATTGCATCCTCATTCCTATATTTTCAAGAGATGACATCAAGTCCTAGTCCACTAAAAACCAAGAGAAGCCTTTTGGTCTGAACTTCTTCAGCATCTCTGCCAAAGCTACCAACTTAATTGTATTCACTTCCACCTTTTCCTCTTCCATTTAGTCTCACAGTGCTCTTCATGTGCCAAACCAGGTGTCCCTTCTACCCTTATCTGGATCCTTGATACCACCCATATCTGTGTATTCAAGGTCCTGATGCACCACTTATTCTCTCCATTTCTTATCTTTACCTGTTTCTCTCTACTGGTACTCTTCCCCCAGCATATAAATACTGCAATACTCTTCTCTCCAGCAAACAAATAAACCTCCCCACATCTTTTGATACTCTCAGAGTTAAGTGATCCTGCTTTCTTTTCCTATATTATGCCTACCAAAGATGTGCCTCTATTAAAGAATTTTTTCAGGATGTCCTGTAATCACTGATTTTTGACTATGTGCCCCATTAGATCATTAAATTGTTGGCTTTTCGAAGCCTTGGTTTACCTCTGGGTCCTTAGTACAATGCTTTGCACGTGGGAGGAAGTCATTAAATATTAGAAAATAGAATTAGTGAATGTGTGGATATGTTATATCATATTCAAAATAATTCTAGGTTAAAGATAATGAATAAAAATTCTCTATTTAAAAATGAGCACAGTGTTATATTTGTATGTGAAAGAATGACACAACAGAGTTCCTCTGTGTTCTAAGGTGAAATACCTTGAAAATGGATAGGATTAGAATTAGAATGCAAAGGCAGATTTCTTTTGGTGACATGAATTAAAATCTCTAACTCAACACTTCAGTTTTAAAGGAGCTAATTAATAATTAAATATGCTAAAATACATACATTACATAGTCTTTTCTAAATGCTTATTATTAATTACTAAAATGCACTTCAAAGCAAATAAATTAAATTTTACCTTGCAGTTGCCAAGATATAGTCATAACGTGGAGACCAGGAAACTGCCAGTATTTCTTGTCTATGACCTGCAAATACAACTGTATGAAAAGTCTTGCAAGATATTTGAAAAATCCAAAGATAGAGTACCAATAATTTCACCTGATTCTGAAGAAAGTGAGGCTAAATATTCAATGTGAATAGATATGATCATTTCTCACACTTATAATAATCTACATTTCAATGCTAATGTGAAGTTTACAGGAGTATTTCTAACACATGGCATTTTATTGTAAAATAACTGGTTTTGCTTTAGAAAAAAATAGAGTTAAGTAAGCCTTTCTTTTTAAATACAGTTGTTAGCTTATGTGAGTCAATCCATGTAACTCAAGCTCAATTACTGTAATAAAACATACAAGATAAACATTTTAAAGGATAAAAATGTCTTCTAATTTCTCATAAAGTTGTAAGAGAAAATTACTTTAATTCATGACTGTAAAAAAGCATTTATATAAAATGTTTTTTTCTAGAAAGCACAGGTAATAAGTTCAAAGGGTGATTTCAACATTTTAATTCACTTTTACCTAACTGAACTATTCACATCAGACATTTTCATCTGCCCAGCTTATATTAATAGAAATTCATAATGTCAAAAAATGCTACCCATCTCACCAACTTTTCTTAATATATTTGTTATTTGTTTCTGAGAGAAGTAAAAATATACAAATCATATTCTATCTTTTTATTGTTTAGAATTAGACAATCTAATACTGATAAAAAAGGAGCAAGAATAATTTAAATTAATATACCTTTACCACAGAATTACTTCGATATATTTTTCTAAAATATTCTTACTGAGAAAAAATGCACCTAAATATTAAGAACAATGTTTACTCATTAGCCAGAATATTACATAATATACGAGACAAATATACTGGTACTCTTTCTCCACTATATAAATATGCAATACTCTTCTCTCCAGCAAACAAATAAACCTCCCAACATTTTTGATCCTCTCAGAGTTAAGTGATCCTGCTTTTTTTTCCAGTTGCATTCTTTTTTTTAATGTAGAAATAACACCAGGTTTTGAGTTAGACCTATTTTTCACATCCTTTGAGCTTCCCCAATGACTATTGTTCATAAAATGTCTTTTCAATAGTTCAGTTTTATAAGAATAATGCACAGAAGGATCTTTATTTCCCTGCTGACTTTTAACAACTAGCACAAAATACATCAGTCATGTCACTCACAAAGAATACATTGTTAGTTATGTTTCTTTTTATTGAATGCTTTACTCAAAGTAGTTGCTGTTTGAAATAAAATAAAAATACCCTGTAGAATGTGAGAACAGGATCCAGACTTCAAGTCACAAAGTTGTACTTTGGGTCCTCTAGTACCAACTGTAAAAACAAAAATGCTTTAAGATAATTTTATCATAAATCATCATTAAAAGGAAACAAGACATTATCATTAGTAATAAAGATATATGTCAAAAAGACATTTCAAGTCATTTTTAACGTTTACATTTAGAAAAGTTATTTTAACTACAGTTATATTTTACTAGTAAGAGACCTCTATTATTACATTTATTTTTAATTCTGAAATAATTACAGATTTGCAAGCAGTTGCAAAGCGAGTATAAAGAGGACTGTGTACCCTTCACTAGGTTTCCCCATGATTATGTGTGAAGTAACTAACATCAAATCAATATCAAACCCAGGAAACTTATTTTGGTAAATGTGTGTAAATGTACGTATGTACAGTTCTATTCCATTTCATCAAATCAAATCATTGTATTTTAATAGCTTAGTTTTTCCAAGTTAATGATATACTTCCAATCACTAGTAACAGATTCACAGAAACTCTGGACACAGACTGAAAGGAGCTCAAAGACAACTTAGTTCCTAGCTCTTCTTTATGGATAAAACAGCTGACTGATGTCCAGAAGTAGAGACCTACATGGTGCCACAAATATAATGAATCACAGGGCCCAGATACCTGATACTAGAAAATAATTTTTTCTTCCTTATATATGAAGATGTTTGTTGCAGGTGCTTTTATATAAATTGATGCTTAATTTGAAACACAAACTTAGAGAAGGAAATAATTTCCTTGTTTTATTGTGTCAAACTGGGAAATTTGCCAAATTTTATTCATGTAAAATCTCTGAAACTTTAGTGGTTTAAAAGGAACTCTTTAGAGGACAGAAATATGATCTTAATCTCTGAATCCTGGCCACTAGATAGTGCTTGACTTGCACAGTATCTGTTGAATTGAATATAGATAGTACATATATTAAAAAAACAAATTGTGATGTTCCTCATGTTTAAAATGTCTACGTCAAAACTAACTAGATATAAAAAGGGAGAAAGTTTTCAATATGCCAAAAGACAAACGAATACACTTACAAACCTGCTACCAAACAGTGCTTGGTGGAGACTGGAGACATATGATGACTGTAAACTGTTTCCTCAAAATTAAATACATCTGCAGTCTGTTAATCAAAAGACATTTAAAAAGTATAAATTTTAATTATAAAAACAAAGCAATAAATTTGCTATTTACTTTTCCCTAAATTTTTAGCAATTTTTAAATTGAGTGTTAGCAATTCAACTTAAACATAGAAATGTAATACCCCAAAAAACCTTGATAATTTGAAATCCTGTTATTTATAACATTCTTCTCCCTTCTATGAGAAAAAAAAATAGGTTTTCCCAGTAAATCCCAGAAACTAAGAAAATACAAGCATGTGGCTCACCATATTCCTCTCCGCCCACTCTGGTGGGGACGGGGCTCAGTATCTACATGGATGATGTAGCCAGCACTGCCTCTCAGTTCCATACAACCTGAGCTACCACACCCAGGACCCTGTTACTACCTCGAATTGTCCCTTCTTTGAAATCATACATTTCAATTATCTATAATCACAATCTTCTATCATTTTCAGCTTCCCCCGCCACTCGCCAACCACTCTCAAGAAATCCGAATAAACTCTGGAACCTCTATCAGTTCCTTTCATCTACTTCTTTTCCTCTCCAGGTTGTATTCAAGGTCCAACACCAATACCAAGGTCAACTGCCAATATCTTCAATTCCTTTGCTAATATCCTTCCATTTGTCAAGACTTCTACCCTGGGTGACCCCAAATGTCTGCCTTCTCTGTACTTATATCCAGACTGATCTACACCAGGGGTTGGCAAACTTTCTGTAGAGTCAGATGGTAAATATTTTAGGCTTTCAGTACCAACTACTCATCTCTGTCACTGCAGTGTTACAGCAGTCATGTACAACAAATGAACATATTGGAACTGCTCGCCAGGTTCTTCCTGCCTGCTGCACAAACAAAATCAATTTGCAAAGACAATGGCATTCCACTAGAGAATTTAATTGATTAAGGCTGGCCATGCCAAGTGGGAGATGGGATTTATTTATATTACTCTAATCAATCTCCTTAAAGTCTTGTAGGTTAGGGGTTTTCCAAAGGTAGTTTGGGGGAAGGAGTGGGAGTGGTTAGGCAATGAATGGGTGCTTGCTGTTGATTGGCTGGGGGTGCAATGAGAAGGGTGTGGAGAATGGTCCTCCTGTGCACTCAGTCACTTCTGGGTGGGGCCACAGGGGCAGTTGGCATGTTCAGGTGGAGCCATTGATGTCAGACATGAAAACCTTCTGAAAAGATATCTCAAAAGGCCAATTTTAGGTTCTACAGTTGTGATGTTATCTCAGGAGTAATTGGGGAAGTTATATATCTTGTGACCTCCAGAATAATGGCTGGCAATCATTTATGTCTCTCTCTCTCTCTCTATTTATTTTTGAGACCAGGTTATGAGACTGGCTACTTTTTGCATTTTTGGTAGAGATGGGGTTTTGCCATGTTGCCCAGGCTGGTCTTCAACTCCTGGGCTCAAGCAATTCACCCTCCTTAGCCTCCCAAAGTGTTGGGATTACAGGTGTGAGCCACTGGGTCTACATCTACACCTTAGCAGAATTCAGACTCCACTCCTCCTCCAAGTCTGGTGGACTCTCATTAGCTTTACAAAAGTGGTTGAGTTTTGGGGAAGAACTATTATCATTTAAACTATAAAATGGCTGGGGGCAGTGGCTCACACCTGTAATTCCAGCACTTTGAGAGGCTGAGAGAAGAGGATCACTTGAGGTCAGGAGTTTGAGACCAGCCTGGCCAACATGGTGAAACTCCATCTCTACTAAAAATACAAAAATTAGCTGAGCTTGGTGGTGGGCACCTATAATCCCAGCTATACAGGAGGCCGAGGCAGGAGAATCGCTTGAATCCAGGAGGTGGAGGTTGCGGTGAGCTGAGATCACACCACTGCACTACAACCTGGGCAACAGAGTGAACCTCTGTCTCAAAAATAAATAAATAAAATTAAAAAATAGAGTATTAACTGTCTCCCAAAGTTAGCTTGGCCAAAGTCCAGGAATAATTCAGGCGGTTGAGGGCTAAAGGCACTGCCACAATTTTGTCACTGATAAATTTTTGCAAAGGCAGTTTCAATATTTGTAGCCAAAACCCATTTTATTTACAAAAAAGTCCATGGGCCCACACTTGGCCAATCCCTTGCTCTACCCAGGTAAAAAAAAGTATAATAGGGCAGTGTCACTATAAAAGATTGTTCATTTCCTCTGAATTTCAGTAATGACAGCTAGTCCCACTATATTTCTCTGCAGTATTCCACAACTATTTCAAATCTTCTCCACGAACATCCCCACTCAGTCACAGCAGGTGATCTGATATTTCATTTCAAAAAGAAAATAGGAGGCACTCAATCATAATTCCCTTAATGGCTTACAACAAACCTACAAACACATTTGCTTCCACTTATCCTTTTTCCTTCTTCACTCCTGTTATCTAAAATCATGATTCCTAACCCTTTTTTTTTTTTTTTTTTTTTTTTTTTTTTTTTTTTTTTTAAGACGGAGTCTTTCTTGCTGTTGCCCAGGCTGGAGCGAAGTGGTATGATCTCGACTCACTGCAACTTCTGCCTCCTGGGTTCAAGCGGTTCTCTTGCCTCAACCTCCTGAATAGCTGGGACTACAGGTGCCCACCACCATGCCTAGCTAATTTTTGTATTTTTAGTAGAGATGGTTTTTCACCATATTGGCCGGGCTGGTCTCGAGATTCCTCCCCATTTTTAATGTTAATTCTCCTACTTGTGTTTAGATCCCCTTCAGCACTGTTAGAGATCTGAACCCTATAGATTATCTTCTGGGTTTCTATAACCTCTGTCCCCACTGGCTCATTCCCAACAGCACTAAAAGTTCAAGTCTTTTTCATCTCACCACCCCCTCACTAAGGCAAAAAAATAAATAAATAAAAAGCCTTTCACCTTACATTCTCCCTAATTTTTCCTCCTCCTCAAATCCAAACTTTGGCTATCTCTAATTCCTTATCTCCCATATATTTCTCAACTAATTGCAATCTTATTTTTATTTCACTACTTTAATACACACTACTCTTCCAATATTACCAATAATCTCCTCATCTGATTTAATACGTTAGGAGTATTCAACACAGATGATTACTTCCATCTTCTTTAAAGCAGTCTCTTTTACTGGCTTCCATTGTGTCATATATTCCTGATTTTCCTCTTTCTCTCCTTGGCTCCATCTTTTCATCACTTTTAGCAGGCTTTGGTTTCCTTTTTCTATCCTATTTATCTTTGTCTCTCTCAGGGTTTTGTTCTATGCATTGTCTTCAATTGCCAGTTGCATGTTATGGGTTAAGTATCCCTTATCCAAAGTAACTGGGACCAGAAATGTTTCAGATTTCAGATTTCTTTTGGTTTTGTAATGTTTGATTTATACTTATTGGTTAAGTATTCCAAATCTACAACTCAAAAAATTTCAAATTTTGAACTTTTGGATTAGGGATACTTGGCATGTTGTGAAGCACAAATCTGTATATTCAGTATAGACCTTACTCCTGAATTCTGGATATCTATAGCTCAATTCCTGGGTTATCTCCATTTGGATTTCCTGAAAATCCCTCAAACTCGGCAAATTGAAAATTGAACTCATCGCTCCCACCCTTCCCCATCTTAGTAAATAACAATGTAATTCACTGAATTGCCAAGCTAGAGAACTTAGGGGTTATTCCTATATAGATTTTTTAAAATAAACTTTTCCAAGATAAAATTCATTTATCGTACAACTTGAAACCCATATATAAAGTGTCACTGGTGATGCTGGAAGTACTCCCAAGAAGCAGAGAAAAGTCATGATATTACAAGAAGCTGAGTTGCTTAACCCATGTACCATAGATTAAGATCTGCAGCTGTGGTTGCCTACCATTTCAAGATAAATGAATACAGAATAAGAAAAAAGAAAATTTGTGATGCTGTCACTGCAGCTATGCCAGCAGGGTGAAAACCTTGCACGTTTTGTGAAATACCTTTGACCTCTTAATGAAAATCCAGCTTTTATGTGGGTGCAGGATTGTTAAAAGAAAGGCATATCTATATATAGACTCTAATATGATTTTTTTAAAAGAGAAGTCATTACAGTCATTATATGACAATGTAAAGCCAAAGGAAGGTGAAGGATCTAAAGCTGGAGAAATTAATGCCAGAAAAGGATGGTTTGATAATTTTGGAAACAGGTTTGGCTTTAAAAAAGTCAAGGTAACAGGATAAGAAGCTTCTGCCCACCAAGAGGCAGTAGATGAGTTTCCAGATGCCATTAAGAAAATCACTGAGGACAAAGGATATCTGCCTGAACAGTTTTTAAATGCAGACAAAAGTGCCCTATTCTGGGATAATATAATGCCACAAAGGACTCTTATGACATGGACACTTTGAAGATATGGGTACTGAAACTAAAGCAAATAGTGGAAGAAGGATCAGTACTGTAATAGAAACATTTTTAAGAGAAATAAAGAAGAACAGACAGAAATTACAACGTATTTCCATAGTTATACCAACTGTGCCTGCCCCTCCTTCCAAATCTTCTTCCACCTTTTGTCACCCTAGAGACAGCAAGGTCAACCCCCTCTTCCTCCAACCCCTTTTCTTCCTGTTCCTTCTCCTCAGCCTACTCAATGTGAAGATGATAAGGATAAAGACCTTTATGATGATCCACTTCCACTGACTTAGTAGTAAATATATTTCTCTTCCTCACAATTTTCTTAATAACATTTTCTTATCTCTAGCTTACTATAAGAATACAGTATATAGGCCAGGCGTGGTGGCTCACGCCTGCAATTTCTGCATTTTGGGAGCCAAGGCAGGTGGATCACCTGAGGTCAGGAGTTCAAGACCAGGTTGGCCAACGTGGTGAAACCCCGTCTCTACTAAATATATAAGAAAATTAGCTGGGCGTGGTGGTATGCACCTGTAGTCCCAGCTACTCGGGAGGCTGAGGTAGGAGAATTGCTTGAACCCAGGAGGCAAAGGTTGCAGTGAGCCGTGATAGCGCCACTGCACTTCAGCCTGGGTGACAGAGTGAGACTCTGTCTGGAAAAATAAAAATAAAAATAATA